CGCCCAGGATTTAAATGTTTATTCACGTTACTCGGTTCTTGGGCTTGGTTAGCAAAGAAGTGGCTGTTTAGATCTTTGCTACTATGGCAACTAGAGAACTTCTCCTAGCATCATGGGACTTGTAGGGCACAGTTGAATGGAAGGAAAAGGTAAGATGGCAGATGTTAGGGAGGCATTTTCATAATTCCATCATCTCCAGGTTCCTTCACACTCCTCACTCTAGTCATTCCATAAATTATGTTTTTCTACTGAGTAAAGTACTATGAAAGAGGAAAAGCTCCTTTTCCCTGATTTAATTAAAAAACACATAGAAGTAAACCCACAATTTTTGGAGCATTTTAGAAATATTATATTTTGAGCAAGGAAATATCTATCCTATCAGGCAAGCCAAAAAAAAAACCACAACTATGTAAAGATATGCATGCCTATGTTAGTGACGGTTAATATAATGAAATTTGTTCTGTGGTAAATTTCTGAAAGATATAAATTTATACAGGATAGAAAGAATAGTAAAATATAGGAACCCCTTTAATTGGGCAATCTATGATCAAAAATAATTTTTTATGTTTTTCAGAACTTTTAATCTGGCAAGGTGATAAATTACGAGAAGACAGGATTTTTGATTGAATAAATTATCAATTTTCAGCAACCACATAGATAGATTTTCCTCATGATTATCTGTTTGTAATCTGCTCTTTCAGGTCCTCCAAACTCTTCACTCCTGCAACCGAATCTATCCACGTTTCTTTTCCCTTCCACATTTATCCTCTTCTTTTCCCTTCCACATTTCCTTGCACTAGAACCTTCTCCAGAGAGCTTGGTCTTTGTATAATGTGTCCCAAGTGGGGAAATTTGAGTCTGATCATTGGTGCCTTGAGTGAGAACTGTGAGTTGATTTGTTTGGTGATTTGCTTTCTTGGCTGACTATGGTGTTTCCGCTTTTAAACCTGCATTTTTGACCTTCAGACGTCAAAGAAAAAATCAGAACAGGCTGAAATAGTACAGTTTTAAATTGCAGTAGCACTTTTCCAAACAGGGCATTTTAAACAAGGAACAGAAAAGTCTCCCGTTTCCATCCAGTTTTTAAGAAAAACACAACCCTGTGGACAAAAACAACAAGTATAAAAACTAAAGGGTTTTTATGTGAATGATGTTGGATGACTACCTGCCTGGAAAGTGGATATGGCAATTCCTGTACACAGCAGGATAGCTGAGAAAGAATAGGTGAAAATAACTAAATGCAAAGACCAGTAAACAGAATTAGAATGACTATTGCAAAAGAGAGCACAATGTACACCATCAGCACTGACAATCCCCCCTCCCCCTGTCAGTTGCAAAAGGCACCTTTGCTTGGAACAGCTTACATCCTGTGCCGATACCTTTAACACTATCAAAGACATTGAAGAAGGCAGCAGTTTGCAAACGGCAACCATGTAATTTCATGTTTCATGAAAGTGCAGGATTCACTTAATGACGGCAAGTGGAGCTGCCATTACTAAGCAGTACACTCATGTCATGTCGGGCTTAAAATCCTGTAGCTTGGCAATGGAAATTCTGGTGCCAATTGCTGTTATTAACCAGCATTTACATGTAAGGCATAGATATAGCATTCGGATCCCAAGTCCCAGCTATCATCAGCCACCTAGTTCAAGACTTTTACCAAGTGACATAATGACAGCTTTTAAGGATTCTGTTTTAATTCTTTCTGAACATTCTGTTGGCCATACTACCCATAGAGCCATGAAGTAAATCCATCAATTGCTCATATCATTTATGTCATTTAGAGTTTGCTTTTGTTTTAAAGGAGAATGACATGATTGTTTAGTTTCTCACATGGGCAAAGGAAAAATGAACAACCAGAGCAGTGGTTAGGGAACCGGAAATGATGTTACATATTTAGGGGGTTGGACTATATGACCTATAAGGTCCCGTCCAACTCTGTCAATCAGTTCATTTTAATCTTAATTTTATGTTATATGTTATGCATAAATCACAAATATAATTTATGAACTTAGAGGGCCTGTAATACAACCATAGTTAGCCTTTTAAAGGCTAACTCATTTTGCTGGAACATGTGTAGTATGAATGAACGTCTAGCGTATGAATGATTTATTATTGGTGATACCAGGTAGAACATTAGTGGACATAAGGAATATAGTGGATGAGTAGCCTTGTTGGGCATAGTTATTTGAATGGCCTTGTTGGGCCTAGTTTAAGGACACATGCTTAAAGAAGATTTACTGGAATGCCCTCCCATCAGGAGAGTCATTATTATTGTTATACAATTGTATCACAGCGGCCAGTTGTTTCGCCGGATTTGGCATTGGTTA